ATGGAAAAATAGCTAGTTTTCCACATAGTCAGGCAGCAAGGTTAGTTACAGTAATTTGTTTGAGGATTGGATTGGTGATACATGCATTTTTAACAGATTGGGGAGATCCCAGTCGGAGAGACCTGGTGGTTTGTGTTGATTAAGGTGGGAATAATGCAGCCTAATGCTGAAATTTGCTAAACTGCAGGTCTCAGCAGCCACAGCCAGCAGAGCCCATGGTGAGGATGCTGGAAGTCATAGTCCAACATCATCTGGGGACTACATGACTTACAATTGCTCCTGAGCTGACAGGTTGGAAGACAATGATGAAATTGTGTGTGTGTTGTCTATAATTTATAATATTATCTACTAGGCCTATAAAAACTAGCATGGCAATAAAAAGACTGTAGGAATGTACTTGGCAGTAGCCTACCCAATGGCATGAGCTCATTATATTCTGCGACAAATGTATCTGGGAAGGCATGGAGGTGATGATGTTTTTTTCAGTCCAGAACAGCTCACTGTTGCTTCAATTGCTTGGTTGGGGATGAATCATGTCATGTTCATCTGCGTTGCAATGATGCAAACAACAGGCAGCAACAAGGCTCAGAAGACAGGCCTTTCAGTTAGAGATCGTAAGTCAAGGCACCCAACCTGAATAACCAAACTGACGCTTGGAAAGAAGGGGAATATGTATTGCTGATGGCATGGAGTTCAGTTTTCCAGCATTCTACAGGAAAAGAGATTCCTCCTAAACATTAGGAAGGACTTCCTGAGGGTAAGCATTGTTCAAAGGTGGAACACATTACCTTAGAGACTGGTGGATTCTCCTTCTTTGGAGATTTTAAAACAAAGGCTGGATGGCCATCTCTCGGGAGTGCCTTGATTGTATATCTCTGCATAGCAAAAAGGGGGTTGGACAGGTCTCTTTCAACTGTATGATCCTAATATTATGACATACTGAAGCCATCCATAACTGAGCATTGCGCTAAGTCCCAGAGCATGTCATTAGATTTGTTCTTCCTAAAAATAAAATAGCTTTCCAAGCTCCAGTTAAAGTGGCTGCTTGTAATGTTCACAAGGATTTTTAGAAGTGTTAAAGGCATGCCTGTGAATCTGATGGGCTGTCTAGCTTAAAGAGCTGGCAGTGCACATTATTTTGGCATCATGCTGCCTCAGTTCAGCTGGAATTATATATACTCCCTGCCTGTATTACTGTTTTGATGATTGGTTTGTTTGTGGGTCTTCCTTTCCTCACCACATCAGGAAGGATGGTAAAGATATGAAACTGAAGTCCTTTGCAGGCAATGAAAGAGTTACAGCCCTGTGCTAAAAAAAACTGGAGGAATGTTTTTGGTCTCTTTCAAAAGCCAATAAAGGAGGAGTTTCACAATGCAACTGACTCCGAACAACTAGCTGGCTCAAGACTGCTGCAGATCTGTTTACTAGAGAACTTCTTCTGAACACATGAAAATGGTCAGTGCAGTGAATGCTGTGCTCCTGTTTCTCTGAGGTAGGTTTTCAGTGCTTGAATGCAAGTATTTTCTTTCTTTCCTCTTCACTGCTACTTACAGCAGGAACCAGTTTGAATGACAGTGCAACTCCAGTAAGAATTGCTTATCAAGAAAAATAATCTGCTTAAAAGCTTCCTTTATGAGGATCTTGGTTCCAAGCACCCAGTGATGTTTTGGATTGTTTTAACAATAGAGATAATCTGTAAAATATGAAGTGGCAAAGAATCTGCAAAATATTTATTTCACCTGATTGTTGCTGTTGTGTGCCTTCAAGTTGTTTTGACTTATAGCAACCCCAAGGTTTCACTATCACAGGGTTTTCTAGGGCTGAGAGTGTGTGACTTGCCCAGTGAGTTTCCATGGCTGAGCAGGGAATCAAACCCTGGTCTCCAGAGTCATAGTCCAATGCTCAAACCACTACACCATGCTGTCTCTCTACACCTGATAACCAGTGGTTATCAGATAAGATAGCTGATAAGAGTTTGCAAGGTTTAGTGACTTTAGGATGTACTTTTCAGACATAAGTGATGAATAAAAATAAAGCAATTATGCAAATGAAGTTGTTGAATTGAATTGGATGGTGGTGTGCCATAGCCTTCCTTCAACTTGGTGCACTCCAGATTTATGGACTATAGCTTCCATCATCCTCAAAAAGTGTAAGGGCACAAGGTTTGCAAAGGTTGGTGTAACGTTTTGAAATCGACTTGTCTACCTCTGAGTCAGCCCCATTTGCATATTTCCCTGTATATGTTGTTTATGATTGCATTCTAAAACCCATTATTTATTGGTGTTTTGTGCAAAGAGCTGTAATATTCAGAAGATGAAAAACCCTTGATTAAAAGAACCCAGATGAGGATCTATTGAAAAGATCCACCCTATAACTTCTGACTGGATCTGAACTAGATCCAGTGAAATGTTTCTATATTTTGCAACGCCAAGGCGTTTAAATTGGATTGTACAACACTATATTTTAAGTTACTTGTTATGACCCACCCTGAACTGTGAGTGCAGAAAGATGAAATAAAAATGTGAAAGATAAGGAACAGTATTACAATGATTGGAGAGGAAAATTGGTAGCAATTGTAGGAAAGTTTAGTTGTCTGACATTATGTCAAAACTCTTCTCAAAAAAGAAACATTGCAAAACTTCCTGCTTTTTCTCTGAACTTGGAAACATTATTGCTTCTTTTCCTTTCTTTTTAAACTATACTTCTTTGAATCTTCCAGCTGGCAGAACTAGTGGCCATGAGGGCTGGGGGATACTAAGAATTGAAGTGCTATAACTTTTCCAAGTTTTGCTCTGAATACAGCTTGGCAGACTTAACCTCAGCATGGTTTCTGTAACTCCTTTAGATACCTATTTCCATGTGGAGACATTCTGTATGGAACATATTGGACTGAAAGCATTAGCTACATAAAATTACTCACTAAATGTGTGAGAAGATTGTGGCAGCATCATTGTTCCTTCTGATGTACCTTTTACAATTGTTTTCTCCTTGGAGTTTATCACACGAAGAAGGCACATGGCAGCAAATCCCATGCAGAAATGAGATTTTAAAATCTGCTAAACACCCACAAATGCGGGTTGTTTTTCAGACACATTGGCAGAAAGAGAAATAATGTGAAAATAACCCGAATGGAAAGTTGACAAAAACCACTCCTTTCTACTTTCGGAATTTCCCGAAAGTAAAAAGGAGCGGATTTTGTCAGCTTTCCATTTGGGTTATTTTCACATTATATCTCTTTCTGCTAATGCGTCTGAAAAACAATCAGCTTTTGCATTTTTTTCTACTTTCTGTTTCAGTTAACCCTGAACGTCATGTGAAAAAACAACCTGCAAAAGTGGGTTGTTTTCACTTTAAATCTAGTTTTTGCACAGAATTCGCCCGTGTGATAAATTCCCTAGTCTGTTGACACATGGGATGTGGTGGCTTAGTGGTTAAGATGCCAACTCTGACTATCGTAAGGTCAGAAGCTTAGCAGTTCAAGGCCCAGGTGCTGCATGATGGGGTGAGCTTCCATCACTA